TACTTAAAAGGACAAAATTATGAGAGAATGACACAAAACTAAAAAGGTAAATTAACCGACAAATAACTAGGGAAGCATTTGTTCCCAAACGATGAAGCTTTGAGTGCGACTATTCAGGTTGAAATATAGTAAAAAAATTTAAAATAGTTAACAAGTAATAATAGTTATAGCCATTTCACATTATTTCGTAATTTTGTAGTATTATACGTGACAATCATTGTAATTATTACTAGGTAACTATGCTATTTTTAATTTTCTTTTCTTAAAACCATATTTCAATTCTACTAAGTACGTGCTATACACATATTGAATTATAATTGAAATTTTTATAACATGAATTATGAAAAATAATATACATAAAGAATAGATAAAAGTGATTGCCAGTATATTCTAGCGATAATTTTACACCCAACTCCACATTATAAAGTGTGAAGTTTGAATCCTCCACCTTAATATCATAAAAATAAAAAATAAACAAAAAGAAAGTTGTACTTATAGATTAATAATAAAAAAAAAAAAAACGTACGTTACACTGATAGTAGTCTAAATCAAAAGGTCACATTGCATCATATGTACATTGTTATCCAAAATAAAAGTTTTTATGCCAATATTTGCTAATTGTAAAAGTAGTCCATCATTGACAAAAATACATTGAAAACGATCAGCCAAAAAATAGCAGCAGCAATCTCATCATCATTTGTTAATATTAGTAGAAGAAATACAACACAAAAATTTTAATCTAAGGTATAACTTACAACCATCATCGGCATTATAAGCAAATAAAAAAAAAGTAATTTTTATCTCTTTGCTTTGACACCTTTTCCTCGTAAATAATCTTTAACTTGAAGAAGATATGAGGTAGAATTAACCAATATTCTCCTGTAGTTTCACATATTGCTAGCTTGTAAAAAATTTCTATAACCTATGTATCAACTAAAGCTAGCTTGAAGTATTTTTTTTTTCCATATGTTTTTTAAAATGAAATAAAGCCTTTATGCATTTTGATGTACAACAGAGTAACTCTCTCTCTCTCTCTCTCTCTCTCTCTCTCTACATATATATATATATATATATATATATATATATATATATATATCTCTCTCTCTCTCTCTCTATATATATATATATATATATATAGGAACACTCTCAAATTTATTTTTAGAATCCTTATCCAGTTTAGTTTTAGGACTTAAATTCATGATTCTGATTCAACTCTCTCAAAAAAAACTGAATAAGTTTTTGCCAATAAGTTAATAAGTTTTCTCACAAATTTAAATTTAGAATCAAAATCACTGACTTAAATGTGTGAATTAAACGGGCCCTCAATCTTAATACAATTTTGCACCAAAGTCCGGTTTAAAAAAAATCGACTAAAAATTGCTGAATATAGTGTTACTTAAAACGAATAAGAATTACGTTAAGCAACCTTGTAATATTCAAAATAAAGAAAAGGTAACATGTTCTTTTTTTTTTCTAAGGGACGAACTCTAAAAGGCCTCAAAAGGAAAAATAAAAAGGTCAATCCCATTTATATCATTTATATAAAAGAGAGATAAAAATATTTTTAAAAAGATCGATAAAAATATTTTTTTTAAATCAATTAAGCCCCCGTTTAAACTCATGTTTAGTAAGCATGCAATTCGAATTATATTCCCTGTTTGAACTGAGTTAAACTATCCAACTTAAAAAAATATCAAACTTAAAGTTTAACTCCCTCCTTAACTTCAAGTGTTCAACCATTTTTTAACAGTAAAAATGTGCTCACTGTCTCTGCTTTTAACAGGTACCAAACACAAATTTAAATTTTATTCTCTATTAAAATTAAAATTTTAACTACACATCTAAATGTCAATTCGAACTACAATTTAAACTACACATTTAAATTTTTTAGTTTAAATAAAAAAGTAGAAATCAATAAAATTCGAACCAACGAATCACACGGAGCTAAGAATTTGAGTTGATGTCTATAGTGTCAAAAAAAGAGAGGGAAAGAATAGTATTAATGAGACGTTTAGTTTATGGATTCATAACCATAATTCATGATTTTGATTTTTGAAATTTAAATTTTTTTATGAGAGAAAAACACGGTAGAGAACTAAAAATTATGATTCAGAATTAAAAATGAACCCTTAAAACAAACATCCCATAAATGATTTGATATCTATAGCATGAGAAGGTATATCTCGTTAAACAGGATACAGATAAGAAAAAATTATAAGAGTCAAGAGAAAAAAATAGAATTTAAGAAGAAAGAAACTGAAGCACCAAAACGCTTTACAAGAAATGACTTTCTATGCACTCTTTTATATATTTAGAATAGGACATACTGTATTTTCCCCTTTCCCGAGAAATCTCTTTACACTCACGTAGCCTCAACAATCAAGTTTAATTAACTTTATTATTTGAGACATTTTGAGCTAAGTTTTTTATCTGTCAGATTTATATAAAATCACGTAATAATAAAAAATATATATATTTAATTGTTAAAAAAACTTAATATATCAATACGCTAGACGTACTAGAGAATCTCCCTTATTTTTTTTGTTGGATCTAGAACCCGTTGTTTTATTGTATTTAGCAAATTATAAACCTTTAGCTTAGTAGCAGCAGAATTAGTGTATGTTATTTAGCATAATATAAAAACTTTAGCTTAGCAGCAGAATGTGAAAAGCGGAATTGCTTTTCTAAAGCTGATTCTATTATATTGGTACAAATTAACAAAAATATTATTCATTAATAAATTATTAATTCCTAATCTACCCTTGTTTTATTTATCTATTATATAATAATTCGTGTTAAAGCAATTAGGCAAGTGTGTGTGTTTTAATTTTTATTTCACATTATACCCCTTCTATTTTTTTGTTTTTACTTTTTTCTCTAATTGCCTTTTATTGTATTTGTCCACTCGCCTTCATTATTGAATTTGTCTGCTTGCTCTCTTTTATTACTAATTAAGAAAAAAAACTCGATATGATAACTTCTTAGAAAAAATTAGAGGAAATAAAAACGTCTTAAAGCAACTAGGCAAGTAGGTGTGTTTTAATTTTCATTTCCATTATGCCCTTCTAATTTTTTTTTTTTTACTTTTTTCTCTAATTGCCTTTTATTGTACTTGTCCACTTGCCTTCATCATTGAATTTGTCTGCTTGTCTTCTTTCCTTGCTAATTAAGAAAAAAAAAATTGATACGGTAACTTCTTAAAAAAGATTTAGAGGGTTGCCAATTAACAATTATTAGTGAAAAAATCGGCTAACGATTGTGTTCATAGAGTGGTAGCTGAAACTAAGCGTTTAAAACATGCAGTTGTCATGAAATATTTTATCTCTATTTTTATCTTTAACTTTTTTTATTTTTCACTTACTTGTACTTATTCTTTTCTCTTACTTCAAACTTAAGAAAAATAGGTTAATTTTTATTTCCATTTATGCCCTTCACATTTTGTACTTTTACTTACTTGTTATCTACTCTTTTATTTTGCTTAGAGTTTAAAGGAAAAAAAGGCGTCTTAAAGCATACAATTTTTTTTTTATGCCCCTCGCCTTTTCTACTTTTCACTTACTTGTTATCTACTATTTTTTCTTACTTCGAGTTTCAAAAAAAAAAAAAAAAAAAAAAAAAAAAAAAAAAAAAAATAATTTTTTTTTTTTTTTAAAAAAAAAAAAAAAAAAAAAAAAAAAAAAAAAAACAATTAATTTTTGTTTCTATTTATGTCTTTCACCTTTTGTATTTTTTTTTTACTTATTATCTACTCTTTTCTCTTACTTAGACTTCAAAGAAAAACGGTCTAATTTGTGTTTCTATTTATACTCATCATCTTTTGTATATTTATGCCTTTTACCTTTACTTACTTTTTATCTACTATTTCCTCTAACTTACAATTTAAGAAAAATCGGTCTAACTTTGATTTACATTTATGCCCTTCACCTTTTATATTTCTTACTTACTTGTTATTTACACTTTTGTCTTACTTTGAGCTTAAGAAAAAAGTAATTTAATTTTTGTATCTACTTATGCTCTTTACTTGTACTCTTTCCTCTTAAAAGTGGTTTAATTTTGTTTCTATTTTATACTTTTACTTGTTATTTGTTTTCTCTTATTTAGGGTATAATAAAAAATAGTCAAATTAAATAATGTTTATATTATGGTGATAGATTATACTTAGAACTTATTTGTTAGCATCATAAAATTGTTTATCTACTTTTTACTCACTTTTTATCTATTTTCTTTTATTTAGAGCATAATAAAAAATAGTCAAATTAAATAATGTTTATATTATAACGATCTAATTATAGTTAGAACTCATTTGCATCATAAAATTATTTCTCTAATAGAGAATAAATATGATAGTTTAATTGATATCTTATTGCAAGAGGAACGTGCATTGCACGTGCCTTTTTTTTTTGTTTTTTTTTTTACTAGTCATTTGTAATAAACAACGAAACATTTGCAGAAAAAAAAACGAAAATTTAAAAATAAAAACAACGAAACATTTGCAAAAATAAAAATAAAAAAAATAAAAAAAACGAAAATTTAAAAATAAAAACAACGAAACATAAAATTTTTCTCTTTTAAAAATTTGCTCTTTACTATTATTATTTTTTTTTGAGTTAACTCTGCACGTGCAATTATCGTTAGACATACATTAGGCTACGTTCGCCACCACAATTTATTCTCTTTAAATATGCTCTATATAATAAATTTTAAAATTGGTATATGCATATATGAATGTTAAATTTACCATGAAAACAGAAGCAACAACCACAAATATATGTCTAAATAGTTTTTTTTTTCATTAAATAAAGTAAATTATGCATAATTTTATCCATAGACATCTTTACATAATCTACACCAGAAGTCTAGACTCTAATCACTTTTTACCCCCAATATAGTTAACTAAGAAAAATTATTTTATCAACACAACGGCATTAAACTGACTCTCAGTACTCTAAGCATGTCAAAGGAACATCCATTTCAACAGATCAATAGTTGTAATTTGCCACCATGAAGTGGAAAGCTACCTATTTATTTTTTTATTTTTAATGTTTTCCTTTTCTGTTTCTGGAGAGTATAAAGAACCTGCAGGTGTTACACTACGTATAAGATTATTTTTGATCCCGATTTCTCAACCATTTATCTAGCCTCTTTTAAAAAGCTTGGAAATCACCTGACAATAGCTCAACTGTAAGAACAATAAATAAAACACAAGAAATGAGCAAAAAGGGGATGTTCTTCTCTTTACCGTGTAGTACCATGGGAGAAACACTGTTAACCAGCACACAGCGTCACTAATCACTCAACGTACATTTAAACATTCTCAATTACAACAAAAATGGTAAAATTGAGACCCCACGGTGTGGACATGTTACCTAAACGAGGAAAGAGCACATCCCCAACCAGTTTCAGTATCTTCACTTTCAATCTCTGCGAGTGCAAAAACATCAGAAGAGAGTTGCTTAATTCCACAGCATATATACAAATGGAACAAACAAATAAATACAAGTATAACAAACTCAAGTCTTGAGGACCGTACATGTACAGGGTATACAGTTTACAAAAGAAACAGGTGATTAGGCCCATTCAATAGCGCAAAGTGATCCAATGTCAAAAAATACAGTCCCTTGTCTTCACGAAGACAGCATCTCGACATTAGAATTGTTGGGGATGATCATCCTTATAGCCCTTCGAAAGCAGGTCGTAGTTGATGGATGCAAGCTGGGAGAGATTCTGGCCACAAGCAAAAGAAGGGAAACATATGAGAAAGCTGCACAAGGATTTTATGTCAACGAAACAAATAAAGCAAGCAAGTAAATTAAATAACAGTGAATTATTGACTTCATAAGCAACAGGTTAATATTTAACTGTTTGGGGATAATATTGGGGGGGGGGGGGGTGACTTTTACTGTACTTGAAACACATGATAGTTAGAAAGAAACAATCATCTCTCCGAGAAATTGAAAGAGAGACCATAATTAGTACGCACTGAAGCAATATCATTAAAAGGAAATACCTTAAACGAAAAGTTGCTGAAGGAATAATTGACGGATGAGGCTGAATCAAATTCAGCAAGACCTCCACATTCATCCCCCTGTAATTGAATAGTTCCAAAGATCCAACTCAATAACTCCAATTTCATGCTTATTAGAGGCATGTCTAAAAAAACCCTTTGAATGTTAGAAAGCAACTAATTTAAAATACCACTTCATCATGACCAGTGCTCATGCCACTATTGCTGCCACTTAAACTATCAGCATCACTGGAATCATCAAGTTCACTAGGTGGGTAAACATGTTCATCTAAAGTAGTCCATGAAATACGACTTGTGAAGTAACTAGTATCTAGTGGACCATCTGACATCGGAACAAATGCAGCCTGTATAAGAAAGATAGTTAAAATCATGTAGTCGGTCAAAACATGGATAAGCTATCTTTATGATTCTTCAATATCGTATTTCGAACCTTCTGCCTGGCAAGTGTATCCCAGTTGATATCCTTGAAAAATACGTGCCGCTTCACCTGGACAATAAATTTCGAAGCAATCATTTTACATTTATGAAGAAAAAGTGATAAAAAAATATTGAAATAAGAATTCAAAAAGAACAAATTCATACCTCCGATGCTCCTCCAGCTCCAAGTCTCTGGTTAGGGTCTTCTGTCAATAATCTGGAAATTGAACGTATCATCATCTCTTAAAGTTCTTCATATTGAGTATTTAACTAGCTTAGTACAACAATTCCCTTTCACCTCTCTAATATTGCTAGCAAAAAGACATGTACAAACCCCAGTAAATAAAAATAAAAATGTCACAGCCTGTTGTGTTTACAAAATCACTACACGATCACATTTGTGTTAAAAATCTGCAGCAACGTCCATGTGACTCGAATATGTTGCAAGTATGATTTCAACAGTTCACGAACCTCAAAAATCTGGATTAAAACAATTTCATTCTTCTCCGACTAACTCTTAAAAGAATTGCTATGGATTCAGATCAAACAGGTAGGTCTTTAACTTCATATCACATAATAAAAAATTCTACATTCTACATAGGATATAAGTATCAATATTTAAATAGTTGAAAAAATAAATGGAACGATCAAATACAAATTTCAGTGTGATCTCTTTGGGGTACACCATTATCAGATATTATTGCGATAATAACAAGTATCAAAGGATTTAACAATATTTTAGTATGTCAGCATTCAACGGATGAACCTCTTGTGCTTGCTTTCTTTACTTTTAGTTACTGAATTGCATTGTTTTCTATTAATAAAAATGGGACAAAAGATCATTGTAACAAAAATCCATATCACTGGAATTATAATCAACGCATACCTCAGTCATCTAAAAACAATATTCATGATAACAGAAGAGTATTGAGCATAACAGGAGATTGGGAGTGTGGAAGTGTGAAAGACATTCACCATTGGTGCTGAGCGCCATTTATTTTGAACAGAATCTATTTAACAAAAATTGCAAAGCTTCACTTACCTATCAATCAAATCATGTGCTTCTGGACTCATTTCTTCAGGAACTTGAGGCCACGGTATATTACGATTGAGAATATTATCAAATATTGTCTAAAACAAGGAAAAGAAAAGAGTAAGAAGCCATCCATAGAACAAGGGAAAGAAAAGAGTACGAAGCCATCATGGAGTGGAACACAACCACCGTCAATGCAACAACACTATTTGCATGGTTCAACAAGCACTCATTTCAAGTTTGCATTTGTTGTTTCATTTTAAACACATTCTTGTTTCTCATAAAAAGAATAATAATTATGCTATAGGAACACCACAAGACCACAATATAATAGTACCATATAATTAATTTCATATGCAACGAATAATTATTGTCAACGGCTCTGCAGGCAAATACAACGATTTAAGATTTCTATGTGTCTCTCAGCAGAACCAGCAAAGCCAAGAATTCAGCATACCACTACCATTAAAATAAAAACAATCATCGAGGTTTGAGGTAAGTTCATGCCCAATTTTCATCACCTGAAAAAATGAACAGCTAGGCACTAATCATTGCAAGACTAATTTGTTAAGATATGATAGAGGTGCCAGTTTATCCAATTGCAAGAGAAACCTCTCCAACACCCAATAAAACAAATACAGATATACTGAACTAATATAAAGATAAGACATTTCATTCAAGGCCCCAGAAAGACCACAAAGAAAGTGAATTCTAAAGCTGTAAGATAATCTTCAGAAATTTGGCAAAGACAATTGCAGTGTACTAGCATTGGTTTCCTCCCTCTCTCACTCGGAGAAAAAAAAAAAAAAGAAATCTTGTTTTCTGGTACAATAATCCAAGGAAAAGGAATAATACGGGAAGGAGAAAGTTTAAAGAAGTTTAAGAAGAATGGAAGAAAGGGAGTACAACAGCATGCAAAATTAAACCATAAACTCATTCACAATGCAGTATAACCTGAGGATGCTCTGCATTGAAGGGTGGAATTCCAACAAGCAGTTCAAACAAAATGACACCAACTGACCACCAATCAGCAGTTGCACCTGCAGACGTTAATACGAAAAGGTATTGTTCATCATACCAATTCAACAATTGATCAAACACAAATCAGAAGCTATATTTTAAAAGAACAAGAAAAATTCATTGTCATACATAAACTAGTTCCACTTCATAAGCTAATGTTTCTTTTAGGTCATTAGCTATATTTAAATTAATCGAATATTAAGTGACACAACTGATAAAATTTATTGGACCTCAAACTTAGAGAGGGTTATACAAACCATGTCCTGTTCCCAATAGTATCTCTGGTGCCAAATAGTCAGGTGTGCCCACAGCAGAACGCTTCTTTCGCCTTTCTCGCTGATGCTCAGACACAGACAATTCAGGCTCATCTTCTCCCATTAGAGAAGTCCCACTAACTGCTGGCCCAGATAAATCATCAGTACTGTTGATGAGACCAACTTTTGAGAGCCCAAAATCCGTTAACTGCTCAGATAAAAAGATTTCCTTAGCTTGACAAAAAAAAAAAACCTTAAAGATGAATTAAATCCAAAATACTAATAGGTGACAAAAACCCACAATGTCAAATGAATGAAGTGCATTTCAAGTAACATAACCACAAAACTATTAAAAATTATGAATTTACATGAAGGAAAAAGGAAAGCATCTAGATATCATACACATTGAAAGGCAAGTGGACAGGCAGTAAAAATGAGAGAACTCTGGGAATGTAAAGTCGATGGTCAAAAATTAAGAGTAATTATAGATGTTGGAAAATTGTTGAGAGGGATAAAGAGAATGATGTCAACTCAAAATAGCAGCAGGGTGCATGGAGTTGAAGGGTACATAATTATAGAAATCACAATGTTCAGACAGCAGATGTACCAAATAAATAAATAAATAAATATTACAAATTACAAATTAAAGAAAGAAAGAAAGAGAGAATTAATTAATAAAAAAAAGTATTAAAAAGAAAATTATAAGATTGCGTGTATGGACTATGGACTATAAATTCATCTTCTTTTGTTTATTGAAATTTTCATATTTCTCGCTATGAACAGAAAGAATATGAGAAAGGATAAAACAAGATAATAAGATACTAGATGGCAAAGCAAACATGCAGTAACAGAGTGCAAGAGTCACATGAGAAGATCAGGCCACATGTTAAAAAACCAATGAACACAATAGGTTAAAAATGCAATTTCATTCCAGCTGACGGAAAAAAAAGGACAAAATCTTGAAATAAAAGGATATGACCTCAGGCTGAGGAGTGGAAGAAGATTTTTTATGATAATTCGAATTGATAGGCATTAAGCTTGAGTTAGAGATTAATACAGACAAATCAGCAATCTTAAAAGTAAATACATGTGTATACAACAACTTGAGCCATTAAAATCTACTACCAGATGTAGTAGAGGAACTTAATTTTTCCAAGAACTCTCAAAAACCAGCATATAGATGCAAAATCAACTAAACCAATGAGCTTTTAGCACCATAAAATTTGCAACTTTGTGCATCCACAACACAAGGACAGCTAAACATGTAACATACACACATATGCATGCATAGCCGCAGGATGCACACATCTATATACACCTTAAACGTTGAAAAGACTACTTGCACTTACCTTAATATGACCATCATGAGCAATTAATAAATTATCAGGCTTCAGATCACGATGAACTACATGACGTGAATGTAAATATTCTAAAGCAAGCACCTGCCAAAAAAAAAAAAAAAGAACAAACCAGAGATTATGCACTTGCACCAAAGGTAGCAGTAAAAGGTCCCCAGAGTAGAAACAAGAACGTACCACTTCTGCTATATACACACGAGCGACATCTTCCCCTAAGCAACCTAAATTTCTCAGTAACGAATACAAATCCCCTCCATTCAAATACTCCATCACAAGATACAAATTTTCACGACAAGTAAATGAATAGAAGAAGCGAACCTGACAAGCCAATGAGATGTTAGAATCTAGTAACCTTTTTTTTAAGGCAAGGTAAGTCTTTTTGCTAGATAGACCTGCTCACCACAAAAGGATTGCGGACTGAAATCAAGATATCACGTTCTGCTAATATACTTTCAACAGCATTTTTACGGATCATATCAGCCTTTTTAAGAACCTGTTGCAGATACCATGCTCAGTTAATATTTGAGAGCTAGAACAAAGTGAGTGAACTGCTGAACATCATAAAGAATGGATGGGTTGGCTTTAACAGTGAAAGCAGGTAAGTAGTAAAACCATGTAGAGAATTTCTGTAAACCAGCAATTTTATATGCTTCTTTGATGTAATCCAGTACTTACTAGCCTGCTTTTTCAAGTATGAAAGTAAGGGAAGTAGATGCATGATTAAGTGGTGCCTAACAAAAGAAACCTCGGTAGAAAAATAAGACTCTAATTTAACAGTACGAGTAAAAGAAAATACAGGCAAAAGGGAAACGTGAATCACATCAACAGAATAATTAGGGAAGGAAAAAAAATGTAATATATGCTTAATTGGTTTATCGGAAATTACGAAAGAAACAAGATAGAAACCTTTATAGCAAAAAGATCTCCTGTTGTTCTCTTTTTAGCTAAGAAAACCCGTCCGAAAGCCCCACGGCTGATTGGTTTGATAATCTCAAAGTCATCTATGGAGGTACGGTCCCTAGAAGAATGTATAGGACTTGTTCTCAAGCTTCGAACCACGTCATCCTCTAGAGCGGTGTCCTCATCAATTACAGAACTTTCCAAATCAACCTTCTCATCATCTACTAGCTCACAGAGCTGCAGATACTTCTCCCTAGATAGTCAAAAGTCATCAGATTGTATAGATCTAAACAGAGAATGCATCAAAAGTTGCAATCGACACCTTTCAAAAGAAATTCATAGCAAGGAAAACCGACAAACTCTTCAGAAATGAAAAAAAAAAATGATGGTACAAATCACTGTTCAAATAATACTTCTGCAAAATCCAAGGAAAAGGCAGCAACTATCACCTAATCAGCTTCTCAATGCGTGTTCCAAAAGTCTCCACTGTAAGTGCATCAAACTTCCTGCGATCAATTACAACTCTCAAATCTTCAAGACAAGATAGTAGATATGGATTAGTACGATCATCATCCAACGGCGTATTTGCTACACATCGTGCAATATCAGCAAGTTCATTCATCTGCATCACTCAAAAGGGATTTTAGACAAGATCAATAGTGAAACTAGGATAAAACACAGTGGAAAAATCAGACCCTGAGAGCTTGCTAAGGAACTAATGCCAAGTTTTCAAAACATAAAACTATTGATACCCTATACCTGTAATCTTGTTCAATCTTTTGATGTAATAGACAACCCATAGCTTTAAAATTTTAACCTTTACAGTATTCTGACTGTTAACTTCTACAAAAGTAAGGATATATGCTATGGTTATGCATTATTTTGACTTGTTAATTTCCTTATTTTATTTTCTATCTGCGGGATACCTCATCCTGTGTTGTTTTTATTTTTCTTTTTACATGACCATTATATCAATAAAAGGAGCTTTTCGTTGTATAAAGAATATATGCTATGATAACAGCATATTAAATAAACTAAGCATTAGATTTTCCACATTTTGGTTTTAAATACTCCAACTTTAATCCAGATTTTTTGTTTTATTGCAAGTTCAACAAAACTTGATCTTAATGATCTTTGGATGGGCAAGGTGCACGCATAGCTCTACTGCAAAAGACAGAAAATTATTTGGAGATAGGACCTACTATGTTTCAACATTGTTTCTCATCGCTTAAAATTAAAAGACCACATTTAAATGATCATATATTAGGTTCAATTGTTCGCAGGGCAGGTAAATCTAGGAGCCCTTTCCCGGTCCAAAACAAGGGGTTATCCTTAATCATCTGCCTAAGCACCAGCAACCTAATTGAGCGGGCAAAACTAGCTTTTGCACGAAAATATATGTAGTTTGCCTCTCCATGATGTATCTTATACAGTTTCACTTATCAGAAAGTTTAGGGATATATATATATATATGTATACATATATATGTATATGTATGTAACATACATATGCACATATATATATATGAACACTATATTCTAAAACTGTCGGAAAGTATATGCATGTGTGTTATCTAAAACCTGTCAGAAAAAGGAGACGAAATGTGCTTTGGAGAGGCTGAGAGGATGGCCAAGACTCAGCGTTCGTTTGAAGTAAATTCAGAAGTTAAAAGAGAACTTGCAATGTTATGTATACCATGCCAAGATTACTGCTCTCTTCCTCTAGATTAAAAAAATAATAATGACAAAAAATTTAAAAAAAAAAGCCAAATCTAAATATTCTCAAAAGCTTTTAAGATCTCTCTCTCAAAAGTCTAACATGCTGGTTTTGTTTCGTTCTTATATCTCTGTTGAAGGTGGAATCTAGCAAACCTAATGGGGTAAGAAGGTGGGAAATTGCAAACTTAAAATGTTAAGAGAGAGATGGATTACTTGAAAATTGCAGTGCTATTACGCAACTTGGGACGAGAAAACAAAATATCCCCTGAAAGATGAACTAAGAGATACCTGAGGAAGATCATCTTGCTCAGAGTAAGCAACCTTGCCTGCTAAGAGCAAATCAATCTGACTGGTCCTTGGTGTCAACAAAGGAGACCTAGGAGTCAAGCTACCTGCAGATGATGTTGTCATTCCCTGATCAGACTTTGGACCAAAGCGAGTTTTACATGACATCAAAGGTAAACCCTTGAGGTCATCCATAAATACTGAATTATCAGCTTCAGGAAAACAATCAAGCATATCTTCTGAGCCTCTGCGTGACCAATCACTTAGTTTTGGAGAGAAAATGTCAGATTCTTCAGTGACACTGGAATTTGATACTTTTGCGACATCTGGACTTCCTCCTGCTGCATGTTGATTATCCTTTTGTGTCAAGGACTCTATCATCTTTTCAAGGGTTTCAGAAAGTCTGACAAGACGCTCATTGACACTTAGACCCTGTTGGTCACACCGATCAGCAATTGCGCAAATTCTAGAATGATCTTCCACGTTGGAAGTTGGAACCTCTTCCTCGCAAATGCGACAAATTATTGAACTCTCATCAGATATATTCTGCTGATCTCCCCAGTAACCCCAGGACAATTTGTGCTGGTGCTTGGAAGAATGATCGTGAGAATCTTTTGCATGAGATTCATGAGGCTTATGTGCAGTCACATCCACGTCGTAAGTTCCCCTCCTGTTTGACGTCTTCAGATGTTCAACCTTACTATCATTCTGCTCTTTCGGTTGAGCAGCTTCTTTCATGCTTTTTCCACTTGGTGATGGAAATTTCTTCCAAGAAGCCATCCTATCCCTACCGGCCGGTGACTCCAAGTTCTTTGATGTGTCCTCAGCTGGGGGTGTAAGAAAATTTCCAGGCTGGACATCATTGTCTCTCTTCCAGCCAAAACCATGCTGCTCCTGGCTGTAAGATTTCCTAGCTGAAGCTGCTTTTGATGCACTTGCAGCGTTGGAACTTTTCATATCCCTTCCCACACCTGGAGGAATTCTTTTTTCTGCAGAATGCAGAACTCTAGATTGACGAAGCTGAATAAGATTCGTATCCTCAGCTAGTCCACTTTCCTTGTGGAATTGCAACAGTCTGGTACACCTCGTCAGAATGAAGAGCATACGTGTGTGGAGTTGCTTCAGCACACCAGGAGAGAGCTCTTGGCGCCTATCGTCCAAATCCTGAACTATGCTTTCACACTGCAGCCAAAATTCACTAGGTGATGTCACGGCACATCTTCGAGCCAAAACCAGCAAGTCCTCAATAGTTTCTTGCCACTCTGGATGACTATCTGCATTTTTCTCAAGAACTCCCACCAAATCTCCTGCAAATATAGCCAGATCCGAGTTTACTTCTTCCTTCGCTTTGTCAAATTTTGCCCGGATGACGACCAAGATTTCCTACATAAAACCAACGTGTTAGCAAACAAATCAAGCTTACAATAGCTAAAATTAACCATCTGAAAAGGACATAATATATAAACCGAAACTAAAGTACCTCCAAGTTATTTAAGCCTCGAGGCTTGGAAAAGGGGAAAGGCCGTACACCTTTGGAATTCAGTTCATGCGAGAAACTTTTAATGTCAGCAGGAAATCTCTTTCTCGGTGCACTTGTTACGCGGAGTATAGCTTGAAAACGAGGAGACTCAGACTCCTTTGGGTTCTCACAATCATATGCAATCTAGAAAATGAAATGCTCAAGGTTTAGAAAGCATCACGGCAAGGAGTAAAGAAAAATAAGACCGATGATTCTCAAGAAAGAGGGAGAACAATGAAAGACTTAAACGTAGAAAATATATTCTCGAGTCAAAGTAATTAGTACCTCAGGGGTGCAAACATCTGAACTCCTTAATCCCCCAGAAGTGCCCCATGATGATTCATATCTCCCTGTCAAGATTGACTTGGGAGTATTAAATACCATTTTGCTAAAAGTAAACAACACAATTTTGCTAAAAGTAAACAACACAATTTTGCTAGTCACGCCAAGCTATCAAAAAGCCTAAAGTTCAAAAATTAAACAAACCCGCCCAGTGGCAGTGAACCAATGTTACCGTGATATAAATATTGAGCAACGGAAATAATTCTAAATTCTGAAACAAGACCCATTTCATAGTTTACTAAAACATATAATACTGGACAAAGTGACAAAACGTAAGAAAGCATTCAGATCAAATTTCTAAGATGCCCCTTCTACGTCCTGATCATATGCATGTTAATTTTCAGCCTAACAGATTTGCCCTGGCCTGTCTGGATCGTGTGAAATCTAGAGTCCATGCATCTGATAAAATAAACTCACCACCAACACATCTATTAAAAATATAAATTAATAAATATAAACAAAAATTCCTCCCTTAACCAAGCAAGAGGCCATAGGCAGTACATTTTAAATCTTACTCTCCTTTCAAGATTTAATAAATTTTTCATCTTTCATTTTGCTAAGCTTCTATTAGTCACTCGTAGAAAAGGTCCTAGTGCATCTCCAATAAAATGTCATATTAGTGTGCAGGAAAACCACTCTCTAATAAAATGCTACTTTTGGTGCTAAATATGACGTGCTATAGTTGGTGCCAAATTTAGCACCAAAACTAATCTAGCATATGTTAAATTTTAACATTTGATTGCTAATGGTTGATGTATAACTTTTCCATTTAATCATTCCAACATTGTCATTTTCAAATTATTTTAAATTTTTGTTTACAAGGAAATGACTTTTATTGATAAAAAACAATCAATTACAAAAAGGGGGAGGACAAGGTATCCTCATTAATAAGACAAGAACAAAAGCGACAGAATTAACAATCAAAAACCTATCACATCCTTCCAATTTAGAACAATTAAAGAACAAGGAAAACCCTTGAAAGTTTTGTCCGTCGACGCCCATAAGGAAGCTGTAAATTTTGCTTTCTCCTTCTCCTTAAAAATTCTAGCATTTCTTTCCGACCACAAGGCCCAAAAAACTTGACAGAACCATGCTTTTCCACAGTGCTTTCGCCATCTTGTTATTTGAAAATTAAAAGTTAACTTTTACAAGTTCAAAAGTTTGCTAATTATAAAAGATTAATATGCTTAGATTGTATTGTCAATATAATGAATTACCTAACTTTTCTTATTGAGTATGCTTTGATGCTTTTAGTGGAAAAAACATAAGAAAAAAAAGTTTGCTAAATATGACTTGAAATAGCATTCTGCATTGGAGTACAAAATACAATAGCATATCATGTATGCTATTTTCACCATTTTTGAGCTAAATATAGCATTGACATTGGCATTTGCATGGTAGATGGTCTATGATTTGGCAAGTACATAACCAATCTCATGAAAACTAAAAAAAAAAAAAAATGGATGAACTCTAAGTACATTGTTGGAGGTGTCTACATGTTGAAGTTTTCCGATCTTTTTCTTGTTCCCCGAGAAATTGTCACATTTTGTTAGTTTCACAATGTTTGCTTTCCAAAACTTAAGTGTGCAGAAGTTTACACAATTTTTTCCACATATTTGAATTTTAGAGCATGCAGCAGCCATACCCTTACTACTTTCAGACTGTGGTACAAACAAGGAAAATGGAGGCTTTCACTGACAACCAGTAGGGGAAAATTAAAATTTTGAAGAATCACATGGGAAAGAATATCACATGGGAAAGAATAAATGGGAGAAGAATCACATTGTTCGGCACTCATGAACAATTTCATTTCACAAGTGTAAGCTTTTGTTTGTTTCATAGAAACTGTTGGTTCAAACCTTTTTTGCCAGTGTATGAAACAAATTTGAAATTATGTTCAAATATAATTTCAAATTTATGAACCAAATGAGCCATAATAGGTTCCTCTTCACTGAACTCAAGAAGTCTAGATCCTCTAAACCACTCAAGAAAGAAACACAAGTTCATGTCGACATATTAGGGAAAAATAGTCCAAATCGGGTTTGATTAGGATAAATTACTTTGGAAGATTTAGGATATTCAAATCTTTCCTTATCTTCTCCTAGTGATTATCCGGGATTGTTTAGGATTAGGAATTAGGTAATAAAATCTTATTTGAATATTAAATTCAAATCAGTCACTTTATTAGGAGATTATCATTCCTTTTTATTCGGATAAGCCAACTAGCTTGGCTGCCTTTATTTGTATTTTTTCCGTAATATTCAATAAGATAGAAGAGTATTTCTCTTTCAAATCTGTCTTCAGTTCAACCATCAATGCCTTGCAAATCTGAACATTTATACTCCTTTTATTATAATATAAACTGAGAAAACTTTATTAAACATCAACAAATTACAAAATAACTATTCAGGATTGAAGAGAAGTCCATCACCGAGACATAACATAAAAAAACAGAGAAACTAAACTAAAATTACAGAGTCCAAAAAACCCCTTGACTCAGAAAACTACATTAAAAACACCTCTTCTCAAACCATAATGTCTGATAAGCCTTTACTTAGGCAAGTTTTCATTAGGATGCATAAGAGGGTTGGGTGAGGTGGCAATAGTTTGTTATTGTGAAGCAGGGGAGGCTCTAGTTGTTAAGAGGGGAAGTTGTTTGTCACTGGGGCCTTTAGGTTGTCAGGAGGTTAGTTAGATGAATTGAGGGAAATAAAAAGGAAGAAGGTAGCTGCGAGATGGGGAGGGAAGTAACTAGAATTTGCGGGACAAGTCTTGGAGAGTCTCCATGCAGGAGAGAGTGTCCAGTCTCTAGAATTACTGGACTTTACTTGTACTCTTTCTTGAGTTTTCAGATCAATAAAGTTTTTCAATTCAATCTTTTGTTGTTGTTCTTGTAAGAAAAGGCCAGAGTCTATCATTTTGGTACCAGAGCACAAGATCATGGCTATGGCAGGGAAGAAATCAGAGGAGAGATTTGAATCTGTGGAGAAGGAGATTAAGGAGGTTAGGGCGTCCATGGAGAAGGGAATTGGTGAGATGAGAGCTGAGTTGACCCAAAACTTGACCAAAATTTGTCGGTTAATGGAGCAGATGAAGATCTTTTCGGCGCCGGCGCCGGAGAAGACAAGAACACCGGCAATGGAGACGTGCGTAGATCGCGAGATGAACCAGGTCGTGGGTGCATAAGAAGTTAATCGGACTGCAGATCTTGGTTTGGGTACACAGGTTGAAGGTCGTTTGGCTGAACCTAGGGTTTCCAGGGATTGTCGGCGAGCGGCGAAGGGTGACGGCGCAACCGAACGTGACAGCAACGGAGGTGTTCCGACAGGAGATCGGAAGGAGGAGATGAACAATTTCAGGAGGGGTCGGCGTGGCAAGTTCGCAGATGGCGGTTCTCGTGGATTTGACGACGGCGGGGTTTCCTTAGTTGGGGGCCATTTGGAGGAGCTCAGGGGGCTCAGAGGAGCACGATTGGAGTACTCGGCGCTGATTGGGCTGTGCTTCGTAGGCGACAGGTGGACTATCCGATTTTTAATGGCAACGACCCGGACGGCTGGGTCTTTCAAATGGAACAGTTTTTCTACATCAACCGTTGTTCTGAAAGGGAGAAGATAGCTTCTACAAGTATTGCTTTGGAGGAGGAAGCCTTGTCCTGGTTTCAGTGGCAGAATGGAAGAAGGTCGTTTGTCAACTGGGCAGAGTTTAAGGTCGCTCTTTTGCAGCGTTTTCGTTCTTCGCAAGAGGGAAGTCTTTGCGAGAGGTTCTTGGCGATTCGGCAAGAGGGTATGGTGGCTGACTACCGTAGGAAATTTGAGATATCAGCGGCCCTCCCTCCGAGATGTTCTGGGAGAGATTTTGGAAGGACTTTTTGTTAATGGTTTGAAGGCAGAAGTTAGAGCTGAATTACGACTATTGAAACTAGTGGGTTTAGGCGAAATTATGGCAATTGCTCAGCGAATAGAGGAAAAGAATGAGTTGCTTCATCGAGAGATTGGGGGATCGAAGTTTTTGAGGACTCAATCTTTTGGGGAGACGAGGAACGAGTTTTCAGAATGTCTCAACCAAGAACTGTGGCTGGAATGGAGCGACAACCAAGAACTTTCGTTGGAATGGAGAAGGTGGCGACTAAAAAAAAAGATTTTCCATTTCGAAAATTGTCATATTCTGAGTTACAAGAAAAGAGAGATAAATGGTTGTGTTTTCGGTGTGATGAGAAATTCACGGTGGGACATCGTTGTAAGAAGAAGGAACTAAGGATTATGCTTGTTAGCGATGAGGAGGAGGAGGAGGAGGAATTGGAGGAGAGAGAAATTGACCAGAAATGGGTTGATCCAATAGAAGTGCAGCCTAAGGTGATTGAGTTGTCTTTAAACTCGGTTCTGGGGCTATCTACTCCAAAACCATGAAGCTTAGGGGGACGATTGCTCAGCATGAGGTAATTGTTTTAATTGATTCCGGTGCAACTCACAATTTCATTTCCTTGAGGATGGTTGAAAAATTGTCTATTCCTATTATTCTACCACTGGTTTTGCAATACAAGTTGGAACGGGGGAATCGGTTAGAGGGAAAGGCTTGTGTAAGGAGGTGGTACTGAGTTTGCCAAATTTGACTATCATAGAGAATTTCTTACCATTGGAATTAGTAGGAATTGACGTAATTTTGGGGATGCAATGGTTGGAGACATTAGGTGGCATGCATGTTAATTGGAAATCTCAAGTGATGAAGTTTAAGGTCAGAGGAGAAGGTGTCACGTTGCGGGGTGATACGAGTCTTTCTAAGACAATGGTTTCTCTTAAAGCTACGGTGAGAACCATCAAACATGAGGGACATGGTAGTCTAAATGTTGAGGAAAATGACAACACAGGCCAACAAGACCATGGGCAGATTCAAGCGCTTTTACGGCAGCATTCCGATGTTTTAAACATGTCAGTTGGGTTGCCTCCTCATCGCGTACGATGATCGCATCATTCTTAAGGATGGAACAGTCCCTATTAGTGTCCGGCCTTACAAATATCCCCATTTTCAGAAGAATGCAATAGAGAAGTTGGTTCGGGAGATGTTTGGTTGCCGGAATCATTCAGCCAAGCACGAGTCCATTTTCAAGTCCTGTGCTTCTTGTTAAAAAGAAAGATGGGAGTTGGAGATTTTGCGTTGATTATCAGGCTCTTAACAAGGCTACGGTACCCAATAAATTTCCTATACTGGTGATAGAAGAACTTTTGAATGAATTGTGTGGAGCCGCAATCTTTACTAAATTGGACTTGAAATCCGGTTATCATCAAATTCGCATGTGTGATGAAGATGTTCCAAAGACCGCTTTTTGCACTCCGGAAGGCCATTATGAATTTCTAGTCATGCCTTTCGTGTTGACAAATGCCCTGGCTACTTTCCAATCTTTGATGAATGAGGTCTTAAAACCATTCTTACGGAAGTTTGTGTTGGTGTTTTTCGATGATATCTTGATTTACAACACTTCTTGGGAGACACATTTGGCACACTTAGATGCGGTTCTCTTGGTTTTAGAGGCAAACCACTTATATGTAAACCAGAAGAAGTGTGCTCAAGAACGCTATTGTTTCTAAGGAGGGTGTTTTGGCCAACACTAGTAAGATTCAAGCGATGTTGGATTGGCCTCTTCCTCGGTCAATCAAGGAGTTGCGGGGACTTTTGGGTCTTACTGGGTATTATCGTCGTTTTGTGGCTGGATATGGCCGAATTTCTTGGCCGTTAATGCAACAACTGAAGAAGGATTGTTTTTGTTGAACGGCCGATGACGACGCCGTCTTTCAACAATTGAAGCAAGCAATGACAGAGGTACCCGTGCATGCTTTACCGGATTTTACTCAGCCTTTTGTGGTGGAGTTGGATGCATCGAGGCATGGGGCTGGTGCTATTTTGAGGCAGCAGCAGCGTCCAATTGCTTATTTTAGTCAGGTCCTTTCGGCACACGCTTGAGCAAAATCGGTTTATGAGCGGGAATTAATGGTCATTGTTTTGGCTATCCAAAAGTGGAGGCATTATCTTCTTGGTCGACGTTTCATTGTGCGGACAGATCAAAGGAGCTTGAGGTTCTTACTTGAGCAACGATTAGTAAGTGCGGAACATCAAAAGTGGTTATGCAAGTTGTTGGAGTATGATTTTGATATTCAATATAAGCCGAGCACTGAGAACAAGGCTGAGGATGCTCTTTCGCGATAGCATATGGGACTCGAATTGATGGCCTTGTCTTCTCCAGTGGTCCTTGATGTGGCGGATTTACATCAACAAGTGTTAGCTGAGCCAAAGTTGGCCAAGATTAGGACTGCTTTACTTCAAGGAGTATAGTTTGCAGCGAGACCAACTACTTTGCAATGGGCGGTTGGTGATTCCTACGCATTCTCCTCTTGTTTCCTCCTTGTTGCATGAATTCCATGGTACTAAAATTGGTGGACATTCAGGGGTACTCAAAACTTAAAAGAGGTTGGCTTCAGAATTTTATTGGGAGTGAATGCGTCAGGATGTGGAATCTTTTGTGGCTATCTGTGTTGTGTGTCAACAAAATAAGTCTTACACTTTGTCTCCGTAAGCTTGTTGCAGCCTATTCCAATTCCCCATAGGGTTTGGGAGGACATCTCAATGGATTTTATTGAGGGCTTGCCTAGATCAGAGGGGTGTGATTCAATTTTGGCGGTTGTTGATCGCTTAAGCAAGTATGCGTATTTTCTGGGTCTCAAACATCCTTTCACTGCTAAGTCAGGGGCTGCCTTCTTTGTTAAGGAGATTATCCGGCTTCATGGGTTTCCGAGGAGTACAATTTCTGATCGGGACAAGATTTTCTTAAGTCACTTTTGGAGTGAACTGTTCAAGTTGCAAGGAACTTCTTTGTGCCGAAGTACAACCTATCATCCACAACCGGATGGTCAAACCGAAGTTATTAATAGATGTTCGGAGGCTTACTTGCGTTGTTTTGTTTTGGAGAAACCCCGAAAGTGGTTTTCTCATCTTCCATGGGTTGAGTTTTGGTATAATACTAGCTTTCATGTTTCAGCGGGTATGACGCCTTTTAAGGCCTTATATGGCCGCGACTCTCCTCTATTGGTTCCTTATGAGGTTGCTTCAACAGCAAGTTCAGTGTTGGATCAGCAATTACAGGATCACAATGCTCTCTTGGCTGAGTTGAAAGACCTCTTGGTTCATGCTCAACAATCTATGAAAGCGGCCGCCAATAAGAAGCATCATTTGGTTTTCTTAAAGTTGCAGCCTTATCGCCATCGCTCATTAGCATGGGTTGTCAATGAGAAACTTGCTCCTTGGTACTATGGTCTTTTAAGGTGCTTGTCGTGTTGGTCAGGTGGCTTACCATTTGCAATTACCTGTTGATGCCAAAATCCACCCTATTTTTCATGTTTCTCAGTTAAAACGGGCGATTGGCGCTTCGGTGACATCCCAATCTTTGCCCCCAGTCCTTTCCGAAGATTTGACGTTGCAGGCGGAACTGGAGAAGGTTTTAGACACTCGTTATTCTCCTACTACGGGTCAGTTGGAGGTCCTTCTCAAGTGGCGCCATTTACCGGTTTTCGAGGCTTCTTGGGAGTTGTTTGATGTTATACAGCAACAATTTCTGGATTTTCACCTTGAGGACAAGTTGACTTTTTTGAGGGGCGGTGTAATTGATAAGCCTTTACTTAGGCAAGTTTTCATTAGGAGGAATAAGAGGGTTGGGTGAGGTGGCAATAGTTTGTTATTGTGAAAAGGGGGAGGCTCTGGTTGTTAGGAGGGGCAGTTGTTAGTTACTGGGGACTTTAGGTTGTTAGGAGTTTAGTTAGAGGAATTGAGGGAAATAAAAAGGAAGAAGGTAGCTAAGAGATGGGGAGGGAAGTAACTAGAATTTGTGTGGGACAAGTCTTGGAGAGTCTCCACGCAGGGGAGAGTATGAATTGAGGGAAATAAAAAGGAAGAAGGTAGCTAAGAGATGGGGAGGGAAGTAACTAGAATTTGTGTGGGACAAGTCTTGGAGAGTCTCCACGCAGGGGAGAGTGTCCAGTCTCTCGAATTACTGGACTTTACTTGTACTCTTTCTTGAAGTTTAATTTAAACATAAAAATCCTATAAAAAAAGAAATTAGATAACCCACATTCTACCACAAGTAAAATCATAGCTTTAAATTATCAGAAAACTCACACTTCAAATACATATTAATTGCCAATTCTCTGGTCAATGGAACCCTAACCAATCACAGAAGAAGATAAGTTATGGAATCATCTTCAAGTTCCTTGCTCATCAGGTCAAATACAATACATTGAGAAACTGTGCATACAGTAAATTCATTTGCATACGACCAGCTAGTGGAACCAACCTAGGGAAGACACTAACTGAAGTTGTTGCATGCAACCGTATGCCATTGCAGTCCAAGCTTACACTATTAGAGGGGAATTGTAGTATTTTTACCAAATGATTACTACACAACCAATAACGCATTTCGCCAGTCAATGCTTCAAGGAAATTACATAGTTAGAAAACGTAGGACTCCCCCTCCCCTAGATAGGAGACTTTGTTTCCATTCATAAATTTTTCTCTTGGTACAACTACTTTTCTCATGTTCACCGTTCCCTTCTTTATATACACTGAGTTTCTTCTATTTATGTAATCGTACTTGTAGAAAAACATATACCAACTTAATGAAGGTCTCCCATTGCTTAATCATCGGTTGCACTTACCCAATGAAAACCATAATTGAATGAGTAATTTTGTTCACCACAACTAAGAATAATCACCTTTTGTTACTTTTCTATGCTGACCTTCCATCCTTGAACTTTTTCATCAACTTGGTTTTACTCAGTTTTTGGAGCTGCTTAAGGAAATCATACTAGTAGAGTAAAATATAAAGTTCTACTACAGTCCTACTACACAATCATCAGCTGCGCCACTAAATTTTAACCAATCACGTACCCATTGACATGGCAACTCCAGAATCTACATATTATTAAATACGGACCAACACAATTTGACCAACTAGATGAAAAGACCAGTAGCGATCAACATTTTTCGAATTGAATAGAAGGCCCGATTCATAACGTTCTGATAGCTTCTGTATTTCCCATTGCTTCTTTCGTTACGTTTTGTTTTCTTTCTTTTTTGTTTCATCGAGGATTTTTCATTCATTATCCTTCGTATTTGATTTTGTCATCAATTGAAAAAAAAAAAAAAAAAAAAAAAATAGCAGTCTGATTTCAAGAAATGCCTATAATCTAGTAGCATAATAGAAACCCTTAAGACTCCAAGCTCAGTACATTTTCACACCCGTACACATCTATTATATGAAGAAAAAAAAACCAAATCACTCCACAAACATCACAAACAACTATTATAAACAATAATCATCCCCAATGCAGAAGCAGCAAAACGCATGAAACAGAAAGCGTTCACCACAAACCAAATAACCAACAAAGGCATTAACAACCGTACCTGCTTCGGACGACGATTCGCCGTTCTGCAGCCGCGAAGGAGGCAGCACATTGGGGCTCTGATCCCTAGACTTTGCGCTCCCAGTCGACATACTATCAGAGTTACTCCCATTATCCGCCCAATTCTTCGACGCGTTCTCCAACGGGCCCATTCTACTATGACTCCCCGCTGCCACTTCCTTCTTCTTCCCCGCACTCGAACCACCACTACCGCCGCTGCTGCCACCACCAGGCCTCGACAAATTACTCGCCCCGAGGGCCGCTGAGCCTTTGTCTCCTCTGAATCCAAAGAAGCTCTCCTGCGGCAACGGCCCCGATCTTGTCTTTATCCGGTTCAACCCGAGCGACGAGGCTAGAATGGGCGAGACCGAGGACGGAGGTTGTGGCGACGGCGGCGATGGCGCATCCTTCGCATCAGCCACCGCAGGCATGGCTGAAGACGACTTGGAGCTGGAGCTTCCGGAGGTGGACTTCAACGGCGAGGAAGGGTGGGACTGAGGAGAGTCCTTCCCCTTGGAATCCTTCTTCTTGGCGGCGCCGCCATCCTTGACCTGTGTCTGGCGACAGGCAACGGCGGCGAATCCCCCTCCGCCGCCGCCGCCGCCGCCGTCTTTGAACTTCTTCTTGTCGGATCTGACGGGAGAGTTGGAGCCGAGGAACGATCGAGGGCTGTTGGAGGAGCCGTCGGGGCTGTTGTTGTTGGAGGAAGAGGAGTCGGACTTCTTGGAGGAGAAGAACCGGCCCTTGAACACCATCGTTGGCTCTCTTCGAGCTTCCTGCCACGCGCGTGCGCGTGGGGGCCACGCGTTCCGCCCGCTAGATGGCTTTAGTAGTCTCCTGGTAGACGCGTAGGACTAACTGGACTGACATTGAAGAGGATGATGATGGTGAAGAGGAGCGGATTTGAGGCCGTGGAGAGACTAGAGACGGAGAAAGTGAATCGAATTTTGTGGCGAGAGAAAGTAAAGTAGAAAAATAAAAGAAAAGGATTTTTTTTTTTCTTTAAGAGTACGGAGAGGAGAGAAAGAAGGGTAGATGGATTCAGAAATGCAAAAGAAATGGAGTTGATGTAAAAAGAAAAGCGGACTGATTTTGAGTTCATGGTAAATAAATATTAAAAATTAAAAAATAATAAAAACTTCTAATAAATAAAATACTAGTAAAATGAAATCTTAAATTTTTTTTTTCCTTTTTTTTTCTTTTTGGGTGAAGAAATCTCAAATTTGTCTTAACATGGAGTAATTTATGTATTAATTTTTAAGAGAAAATAAGAAAAATATTTTGAGATACTTAATCCATTTTTAATCATTAAAGATTAGCTCACTCATTTCTACTCTTTTACAATTAAAATAATAAAAATAGTTAAATTAAACATTTTTAAATTTCTAAAGTTACCTCCAATGGTCCATTGGTAAATTATATAAAATGTCAGTAGTCTATCGTCGCCGGCCAGCCAGAGATTATAACATGACAAATTATGATCTATAACCTGACAGCTTACATCGATCACTGGAGGGTCTCCGCCCATAATCTAACAGGTTATGATCCATAACATGGCTGATTACACCGGAAATAACTTGACAAGTTATGGTCCATAACTTTACAGATTACACAGGCCATCAGCGGGTATCTGGACGGCCGCAAGCAATAACCTGACAGGTTATGATCTATAACCTGATACATTACACAGGCCACCAGCAAGTCTGCGGCCATAAGCTCACCAGTTATGATTCATAATCTGACAGATTACCCCGGCCATAACCTGACAGGTTATGATCCATAACTTAACAGCTTATACCGGCCACCAGTGGGTCTCCGGACATAACCTGATAGGTTATGATCTATAACCTGACAGATTACACTGACCGCCGACCTCTGATCACTAACGTCAGTCATAGTATGATCCATCACGTTATGCCCATGTGGATATTTTAGTCTTTTCAATTTGTGATTAAAATATCTCATACAAACGAAAGGGGTAGAGTTTTTTAAAAGGGTAGAATTAGGAGGTTTGATGATTATGGGGTAAAACATAGAATTCACTAAATTTTTTATTACTGTGTTATTTTTTTAGTTTATTTAATAATAAAAATCTTATTAAGTTAATTAGTTAATACGCAATTAACACCTAACATTTTTATCAGAATCGCCAACTAAATGACAAGGATTCACAAGAAAAAATTAAATCCACACATATTTGAAAAAAGTATATTTTAATGAGAATACTCAGAAAAAAAAAGCTATTTAAAAAAAGTATGTTAAAACAGATTTTTTTTTAAGAGTGCGGAGAGAAAGAAGGGTAGATATATTCAGAAATGCGAGAGAAATGACGTTGATCTAAAAAGAAAAGACGACTGATTTTGAGTTCAAGGTAAACAAACATTAAAAATTAAAAAATAATAATAAATTTTGATAAATAAAATGCTGGTAAAATGAAATCTCAAATTTGTTTTTTTCTTTTTTTTCCTTTCGGGTGAAGAAATCTCAAATTTGTTGTAACATGGAGTAATCTATGTATTAATTTTTTAGAAAAAATAAGGAAAATACCCCTCTAATAGGTACTCAATCCATTTCTAACCAATAAAGATTAGCTCACTGATTTCTACTCTTTTACAATTAAAATAATGAAAATAGTTAAATTAAACAATTTTAAAATTTCAAAGTTACCCCCAATGATCCATTGGTAAATTATATGATATGTCAGCAGTCTCTCGTCGCCGGCCAGCCAGAGATTATAACATTATAAATTATGATCCATAACTTGACAGCTTACTCCGGCCACCAGAGGGTCTCTGGCCATAACCTAACAGGTTCTGATCCATAACTTGGCAGATTATACCGGCCATAACTTGACAGGTTATGGTCCATAACTTAAAAGATTACATAGGCCACCGGCGGGTCTCCGGACGGCCGCCAGCCATCACCTGACCGGTTATGATCTATAACCTCATACATTACACCGGCCACCGGCAGGTCTACGGCCACAACCTAACAGGTTATGATCCATAACGTGACATATTACATCGGCCATAACCTGACAAGTTATGATCCATAACCTGACAGATTATACCGGCCACCAGTGCGTCTCCGGGCATAATCTGACAGGTTATGATCCATAACTTGACAGATTACACCGACCGCCGACCTCCGATCACTGGCGTCAGTCATAGTATGATCCATCACGTTATGCCATAAATATGTGGATATTTTAGTCTTTTCAATTTGTGATAAAAATATCTCATACAAAGTAAAGGGGTAGAGTTTTTTAAAATGGTAGAATTAGGAGGTTTGGTGATTATAGAGTAAAACATGGAATTCTATCAATTTTTTATTACTGTGTTATTTTTTAAATTTATTTAATAATAAAAATATTATTTAGTTAATTAGTTAATACACAATTAACACACACATTTTTATAAGAATCGCCATTAAAATGACGAGGATTCATAGGAAAAAATTAATTGCGGACATATCTGGAAAAAGTATATTTTAATGAGAATACTCAGGAAAAAAAGCTATTTAAAAAAAGTATATTAAAACGGTTTTTTTTTAAGAGTGCGAAGAGAAAGAAGGGTAGATACATTTAGAAATGCGAGAAAAATGGAGTTGATGTAAAAAGAAAAGATGACTGATTTTGAGTTCAAGGTAAACTAACATTAAAAATTAAAAAATAATAAAAAGATCTGATAAATAAAATGCTGGTAAAATGAAATCTCAAATTTGCTTTTTTCCTTTTTTTTTTCCCTTCCGGGTGAAGAAACCTCAAATTTGTTGTAACGTGGAGTAATCTATGTATTAATTTTTTAGAGAAAATAAGGAAAATACCCCTCTAATGGGTACTCAATCCATTTCTAACCACTAAAGATTAGCTCACTGACTTCCACTCTTTTATAATTAAAATAATGAAAATAGTTAAATTAAATATTTTTAAAATTCTAAAGTTATCCCAATGGTCCATTGGTAAATTATATGATATGTCAGCAGTCTCCAGTCGCCGCCCAGCTGGAGATCATAACATGACAGGTTATGATCCATAACTTGACAGCTTACACCGGCTACCGGAGGTTCTCCGTCCATAACCTAACAGGTTATGATCCATAACCTGACAGATTACAACGGTTATAACTTGACAGGTTATGATCCATAACTTGACAGGTTATGGTCCATAAGTTGATAGATTACACGGGCCACCGGCGGGGCTTCGGACGGCTACCAGCCATAACTTGATAGGTTATGATCTATAACCTGATACATTACACTGGCCACCGGCAGGTCTACGGCCATAACCTGACACGTTATGATCCATAACGTGACAGATTACACCGGCCATAACCTGATAAGTTATGATCCATAACCTGACATATTATACCGATCACCAGTGGGTCTCTGGGTGTAACTTGACAGGTTGTGATCCATAACCTGACAGATTATACCGGTTGCCGACCTCCAATCACTAACGCCAATCATAGTATGATCCATTAGGTTATGCCATACTCTATGGATATTTTAGTCTTTTCAATTTGTGATTAAAATATCTCATATAAATGAAAGGGGTAGAGTTTTTTAAAAGGGTAGAATTAGGAGGTTTGGTGATTATAGGGTAAAACATGGAATTCTCTCAATTTTTTGTTATTGTGTTATTTTTTTTAGTTTATTTAATAATAAAAATATTATTTAGTTAATTAGTTAATACACAATTAACACAAATATTTTTATAAGAATCGCCATTAAAATGACAAGGATTCACAGGAAAAAATTAAATGCGGACATATCTAGAAAAAGTATATTTTAATGAGAATACTCAGGAAAAAAAGCTATTTAAAAAAAGTATATTGAAAAGTGATTACATTGTAGAGAATCTGTTAATTAAATGAAAATAAAAAAAATAAAAAATTAAGTACATGCATATATGAAAAAAATTATACTAATAGGAGGAAAATAACGGAAAATCACATTTAAAATAACAAAAAAAAAAGAGTGAATGCATGTACAAAAAAGTAGTAGTTGCAATTGAATAAGGTGTGGAGGAAGGAAAATGTACGTCACAATAATATTTTTTGAAATAAAGTTTTGAAAATGAGACATATTTTAGAGCATATATAAATCTAAATATAAAATCACATAAAGGAACCAAAATGAAAAAAATAAAACTTTAGGGTAAGAAGCAAAAAAAAATGTCAAAAAAGGAATAAAAGAAAATAAGAAAGGTTTAAGACAAAAGGAATCAAAATGAAAAGAAAAAAAAAAAAAAACATAAAGCTTTATGGCAAAAGGCAAAAAAAAAAAAAAGAATCAAAGAAGGACTAAAATAAAAAGATAAGTAAATTTTAGGGTAAAAAAGAAAAAAAAATAAATTTAGGGCAAAAAGCAAGAGAAGATAAAAAAGAACCTAGATGAAAAATGAATATGTTTTAAGGTAAAAAAGGGAGAAATAAATAGAAGACTTTAAGAAAAGAGGATAAAAGAAAAAAAAAAGGAAGACAGTATTTTATTATATGATAGCTGTGTTTAAAATGTTTATATATATATACATATATTATACATTGTTGTATTATATGATAGATATAAAATTTGTACAAACATATTTACACAGATATATATATATATATAATATTATTATTTAATATATATATATACAGATTGTACAAAATAAAATACAACGCTTTTGTGTTTCTTTAGCATTTCCTTTTTTTCAGCTGCAAATATAAAAATGAGAAAAATGTTTGTAAATGTAATTGTTAACAAAATTAAAGATGTTTAAATTATTTAATATGAAATAAATATTTTAAAAATATTTATATTACCTTGTTTTCGGATGTTTTCCAGATTGTCTTATTGTTTTTGATTCAGGGCTGTAAAAATGAAATAATTTTTAGATATATTTAAATAAGTTGATAATATTTGTTGTGTTGAACATGTCTTACCTTGTACCAGGTTTTTTATGTGTCGGAGTGTGTGGATCAAATGTGGCTGGTATTGATAGCTACGCTGTTGGTATTAGTTGTGGGCTGAAAAAATAGATTTTTAAAATTGTAATAAAAATAATAAAAATATTTTT